CGCTGTCTTTTCCAGTTCGAATGTTCGCGCCTCGCGAACATTGGGCCGTCAAACTCTTTCGTCGCGAATTCACCGTCTGAATTTTCGCGATTCGACAGAATCTCTTCGAGAATAGATCTCTCTCTCGCGAACCAAGTCATGTACATGAGATTTATTTGACGACGTAACTTTGTGGGGTGAGAGACGAGATTTTCCGCTCAAGTTAGAGGTAAAACAGTTTCAAAAAAATTAAACATTTAATCACGGAGAGAAGAGGTATTTTCAATTAAATTAATGAGTATAAATAATTATAAATATACAATTTATTACACGCAAGAACGTACAATTGTAAATATTTTCTCTCGCAGACGCTATTTATTTGTGTGACTGTTTACTTTAGATATTTTTATATGATTATTTACAATCATCAAGAATTTTATTTACACACCGAAGTATAATAAAAAAAAAACCTCTTGCGTTATCTTTTAAGAGAAAACATTCTAACGAAATTTTATTTTTCTGCGTTTCAGGTACGTACCTCAAAAATGGATTTAGCTGCGGTGGTTTTCTTGATTCGTAATGTAAGTTATATAAATAAGTTTGAATTTATATTCATTTCGCAAAGAAAATAGCTGTGTATTCGCACACTTGACCGTCTGAATTATATGACGGACATTGTGTGTTGGCGTCATCTTTTCTCGTTTCGACAATTCTCTCTCCACACTGTTTTCGTCACACCCACGATTGTTACTTCCACATAAGCGATCCCAGAATTATGACGTGACCTCATATCTCTACATTAAGAAAGCACGTGAAAGTGACAATTACATACGGCGAATTCTTTCTCGGCTGTTTCACAAATAGCTCACACAACTCTAATAATTTTAATTATCACGCAATGACCACGCAGAAAAAAAAAAAAAAAAATTGTTGTGAAATTATAAATCAGAATTTATATAACAAGTACTTGAATCAATTTTTATAAACTTATTTATCAGAAGCGAGAAATTTGCTTTGACAATCTCCTTGAACGTACAATATTGTATATTTAAAACACGTGAACGTGTGTGAATAAGACTTGGCCCTCTAAAGACACAAACAAGAAAATGTGTTTTTATCTAAAAAATGCAGTAATGCGTAGGAACATCTTGTGTTCGGAAAATGACTTTTCGGCGCCTCTGTCAAAGCTTAAGCGTTCTCGATGATCAGGTAGGTAGGTTCGTCGACGAAGGACAGTTTCTCTCACTGCAATATTGAAGGAACTGAGTCAAAGGCCGAAAACACGACAATCCGAGTTCATTCAGACCCTTTTTAAAGGTTATTTACGTCAAATCATATCTCGGGGAAAAAAAGGAACATCTACCACCCACGCGCACAAGTATTATATACCCAATTTCCGTCGGTCGTAACGTTCATAATATGTCCACGGGGTTTTGTACAGCTTAAATTAGAACGAACTTGTCTAGAAAACGACTTTTTTCACACGGTCATGATCGTTAACATCCCGCTTGTGTGTACGTGTGTACGTGCGTGCGTGCAAGCGTGCGTGCGCAATATAAAAGCACGCTCGCGGGCGCACGAAAAGCCGGCGCGCGGGAGCAACACGTTAATTGGGCGAGAGTTACGGCGAATACACCATACGTCTTTATACCCGCCGCGCGCAATTCATCCCCCCGCGCGGCGCGACGAGCGCGACCGGCTGCCGCCCGCCGCCGTCTCGTGCTCCTTTGCCGCTCCGTGCACGACGCGGCGCTGCGGTCGCATGGCCGCCCTCAGTACTCGCGCGAGCCTCGCTCGGTGTGTGTTTCGTGGCGTGGTCGTCGTTGCCGTTGGTGTCGTTTCCTCGTCTTTCTTCGGCTCCGCTCTTGTTTTGTACGCCCGCCGCAACAAATTAATTCCGTTCGCGAATCCGTCCCGACCGATCCCGTGTCTCGTCGCGCTCCCCGTCGTCGGACCGATCGTCGTCTCCGTTTCTCTCTCGCGCTCAAAACAAAAAAAGGAAAACAGAGGAGGAAGAAGAAGCCAGCAACGGCGGCGGCGTTAGTCGAGGAGTTTGTGTCGCTCGTGTGCGGCGCGTGTCCATGTGTCAGTGTGCGTGACAGTGTGCATCACTCCCGTGTGTTGTACACCGTGTGGTTATAAAACACGGTCGTCGTCGTCGTCGTCGTCGTCGCCGTCGCCGCCGCCGTCGTTGTCGTCGTCGACGACGATCAAGAGGATTGCCGGAGTTTCTTGTGTGTGGTCGCGCCTCTTCATTTTCTCTTTATTCCGTGTGACTCCGTGTGTGTGTTACTGTTACACTCGATCGTTTTGTTTTTTTGTTTTTTTTTTTTCATCGTGTCAATCTCCTCGCGTTACTCTACGACGCCGAATACTTACGTCCTCGTCGTCGTAGTACGGCGCCGCTCCTGTATACATATTTACGATCGTTGCGTCCTCTCTCTATCGCCGTCTCGCTCTCCTCTCACCTGCGCTCCGGACAGGTGTCCCGTGGAAGGCAAAGAGCGGAGGAGAGCCGACGCCTGTGTGTCTCTCTCTGTGATAAATAACGTCGTACGACGACGATTTTTCCCGAATCCTGCCGAGAATTAAAAAAACACAAGCCCTCCACTGCCCGAGCGTCGTTATCAAAAACAAAAAAACGTACGTATACATACGCGTATTTCCGTTTCGCGTGTCCCCATCGACGTGTGTCCGTTTGTTCGTTGTGCAATGCGTGCGCGCGCGCGCGCGTGTGTGAGAGCCCAAGGGCATGTGAGCTGAAGAGAATTTTCACGCGCGTGCATTTCAGGACGAATATAACACGCCCCCTTTATCGGGCGACGGTGTTTGTCTTTGAGGTCAGGTTAGTCAGTCGAACGTGAATGAACGATTTGGAGCGACTCTCCGATTTTTTTTTGACGTTCCTCGGGGAACATTACATTCGTTCCGGGAAACGCGAGATGAATTCCGTATGAACGTGGAAGAAAAATGTGACTGCTCCGCGGCTCGATGATGATCGATCGTGTGTCCGTCTGGTGCGTGCGCCCGAAGAAAATTTCCGATCGCAAGCGCGTACAAACGCGTAGCACGATTAATTTATCTGTTGATTGTGTTACGGAAAACACACGAATAACGGAAACGGCTGTTTAGTAGATAGGAGGAAAAAAAAAATTCCTTCGTTATCGTGAACAATTGGATTAATGCTTGGAGCAGCTTTTGTTTTCTAAAATAGCGTCGCACAGGGCGTGGTTAATTAATTAAAGTAACGTGGAATATATTCAAAAAAAAAAAGAAAAAAACAAACAAACCGCTCGTTTATAAAATTGTTCATTAAACGTTGCGCGTTGCGACGAGAGAAATTTATTATTTATTATAAATTTAATTTGGTGAAAACTAAGGCAACAGAGGGAAACGTTTGTATGAGTTAGCATTGATAATAATTAAAGAAAAAATAAATAAATAAATATAAATATAATAGCAGCGTCGGTGAAAGCAAATCGATGTTTGTTTGTACACACACGCGCGCTATAAATAGTTATTATTTTATTTTATCGCATCTTTATTGACACGCGCGCACTCGGCTCAGCCTTCGAAATAATTTTATCGTTCATAAATCTAGTCGTAAATCACGTCGAACTAATTAAATATCGATGGCCGGCTTTTCGTATAGCGCGAGCAACGCTTTGCTTGCCGCTCTTCGCTTAGCGCGGAACAGTCCAATCTGTCCGGACGAACGGATTGTAGCCGGTTTTGTGTCCGAAAAACTCGCGCTCAAGCGCGGAAAATTTTCTTCGGTCTTGCGATAGAGATATCTGTGTATCTCAGAAAATTTCTTGGCGAGATACAGATTCGATCGATGTTTTAAAAAATCAAGCGAGAAAAAAAATATCAGCCAAAAACGATTGAAAGCAAACAAGTTTCTGATTCGAAATTACTCATCGAGTTCAATTAGACTGATTAATATCGATTCGATGTATAGCAGATATATAGTCGATAAAGGCTCTCATGCAACGTCGACTTTGACGCATCCTCATAATATTTAACGCCCACACATTTTGACGTATCACATTTGAGATTGTTTTGTTTTACGTATTTTTTTTTTTTTTTTTTTTTTACAAGATTATAATTCGATTCGGTTAGTTTTCAGACACTAAGCGAATCTATGCTCAAAAGTTCACAAGCAATACGATACGTTTTCGGAAGGGGGAAACTGTGTTGCTTTACCGGATTACAAGAGCTCGGATTGTGTCGCGAGCAAACACAATGCGCGCCATTCATGACGGTCGGGCAGTGGCTTCGGTAACTAACTTTTCCTCATTCGCTAATGCGCAGGGACGCCGCGACTCTTCTCCACGAGTTCACGTTGGTCGCGCCGGTTTCTTTCCCTCGAGCGAGTAATTTTCCACAGTGCGTGCCAATCACGAGAAATTTTTCTGACAATTCCGAGCGAAGCTGTTCTCCCGGTTCTTCAGACAATTGTTTGTACATTTTCTAACATTAGATCGTAACGAAGTGATCAGTGCCATAGACTTAGACTTAAACTAGAAGTATAAACGAAATTCTCTTTTTATAACAACCGAAAGAAAAAAAATCCGATAGTAATACGTGCAAGATAAATTGGTTCGACGTCAGCGGATCGAGTAATCAGAGGGGAGACGATAACAAGTGTGTCATTCGCTCGATGTAACAACGTCGGCGCTCGAAAACGGCGCGCAAGAGTCACGTAATACATTTGTAATAAACGAAAGAGAGATTGGAACAAACGCGTATCAAACAATCAGATGCGTTTGTTTTCCGGCTGATCGTGTAACTTCGGATAGAAAGAGAGTCCAGCGAGAACGACGACCTCCCCGAGGTCTCGATCGTCGTTGTCGTCGTCGTCGCGGGATCGCACGTAGTAGCCGCGCGAATCTCTCGAGCCGTGGAGCCGCGAACGAGAAGTGTCGAAGGACGACGACGCGAGCCGCTGCCGCCGCCGCCGCCGACTCCTCGAGCAGGTGCTACACACCGGGATGCGCGTAGCGTCGACAAGGGCCAGCCGATAGCTCCGTTGCCGGCGCTCGTAGCGATCCTCAGCCCGTGGCGCCGAAAGCGACGGGGTCGTTGCAAGGATCATCATCATCATCATCATCACCATCATCATCATCATCATCGTAGCGCGTCAGGCGCAATGTCGATACGCGTGAGCGGCGTTTACCTGGTGCCCACGAGTCCGGGCGCCGATAACGGCGGCAACGATAAAGGCGGCAATCTGGATCATCATCATCATCATCATCATCATCATCATTCGACGACGAAAACGGTGACGATCGTGACCGCGCCGCAGCGCAGCAACAGTCTGGACTACTTAAACTTCGAGGAGAAGCGACAGATCATCGCCTCGTCGTTGTCACTGAGCGATTTTCTCGCTCATGGACCGGCGGCAGCCGCGGCCGCCGCCAAAGAAGTCGCGGCGAACACGGTGATAGGTAAGTTCTCCTTCCCCCGCGCGAACATGTCGCGATTCGATAGCTTGAAGAAAAACTGACTGGCTCTCTCTCGCGCAGTTTAATTGTCGATTCGATAGCTTTGAAGAAAACCTGACTCTCGCGCGGTTAATTGTCGATTCAACATCGCGAATATATCGAACAGGTGTGCGACTTATGAATAATACAAGAGGAAGTAACTATGCATGATAATTAACATCGAGTTGAGTAGATGAGCGATCTTGTCTCGATGAACGTTTCGAAGAAAAGTTTACGGTCTTACGATAGGAAAACATTATTAAGAAACTAGTCATCGCAATAATATAAAAAAGAAATAATGGCATAAATGTTATAAATATTGAAAACAAACAATCGAAACAAGGTGTTTCTCTTTCCTCGATTGACAAAATTTTGTACGAAAATCTACAACTTATGTTAAGTGTATCATAAAAACATTTATGTACCATAGACTCTCGTGTGTGAAAATTGTTCGAGAACACCGCGAGGCGCGGCGATATTTTACCAACGCGACGTTGAATATTCTCTCATTTATCCACGACGAGAAATGTCAAGTTCCCTCGCCGTGTTTTTTGTTCTTGTCCCGATGATATTGGAAATAATTATAACGCGGACACGGCCCGATGTTTATTTTTTGGGGCACTCCCGGTGCGTTAAAATTGCGAATCGAAATGCGTCTCGGTGCGCGGACAAACCAAACTCCTAATTGAAAATATCGCTGCGTGCGAAGTCGCGGGAAGAGTCGAAAGGGCGCATGGCGAATTCGCTGAAAAAGAGTTGAACGGGGGGGTGACGTCGAGGCGCGTCGATCTCGCCCCGTCCCGCGTTTCTATTATTCGAACGATAATTGCCGGCGATTCGTTTCCATCATTCGTTGTTTCGTGATTTACGAGCGAGAGAAAATCGGGCGCCAGTCGTCGCGTGGTCGTCCCGTCCGCGTGATAGGTGAGGCGAAGAATTGAGGTTTTTAATCGACGCGAAGAGGAGAAAGAAGGCGAGAGAGCGCGGCAAAGAACGACGAAGGGAGAAACAAAGGTGGAAAGCAAGCGCACCTTCTCTCGCCTTGCCGTCTCACTCGGAGTGTCAAGGAACTCCGGTAGCGAGTGAGGCAGCAGCACCGACTTGTAAACAAACCCTGCATGCGTGCGTAGCGTGCATGCGAGATGCGGTGCGTTGACCACCTACACGGTGTCCCGGGAAGAGAAGTCAATATTGTGCGAGAGACGATATTATCCGGAAGGGGGAATTTCTGAGATAGTTGGCCGTTCAAACAATCTGATATATAACCGGGGAATTTCGCTCACTCTTCCTCCCTCGAGCCTGTAAGCGATCTACGTTGCTCGTTGTATCAAGTCGGTCGGTATCTCGCGAGGTCGTCGATCGTTGTGCGAAAAAAAGGGACAAAGGGAGGCGGTACGGCATGGCGCCGGTAGTCTGGTTTATCTTTTTCTCTCTTTCCCCCTTCTATCTCTCTCTCTTTCTCTCTCGCTCTCTTCCTTGTACATGCACATACGCGAGTGCATAGCCCTTTATTGTCTCGCGGAAATGGCGTTTTATCCATAGCCCTTTGGGAAACGCGGAAAATTGCGGATACCAGCAGAGAGAATAGCTAGTTTAGACGTGGAAACGGTTTCCATATGGAACACATCAGTCCGTGACATTTATTGCGGCACAAGAGTGCATAAAAAAATCTCACCTGTACGCGCGTATAAAAAAAACCAAAAAAAAAAAAAAAAACTAAAAAAAAAAAAATCGTACATATCCAAAGCAACGTGTCTCGCCGGCATACCGGTGATTATTCTGTTTATCCGTTTGGCCGGAGTTTTTACGCAACATTATAATTTTCCCGGTATTAACTCGACCCTCGATTCGCGTGACGTTGCGTCACGCAGGAAGCTAAAGCCGCGCGCGCGATAAATCTCCGTCTATTCCCAATATCTCAATTCGTAACACGATTCTCTTTATGAGCGAATATTACCGCGTCCGATAAGCAGGACATGTGATCTTTTCCCAACTGTCGGATCAAAATATTATCTCGCGCGGTTTCACGATTAATTATTTATCTTGGTGTCTGTTGTATATACGCAGACGCGCGAGGTACGCGTAATTAACGCAGACATTAAAGTTGCGCGATTCCAGTCTCTCCGTCTATCCGGGTATTGATGATTAATCGCGCGACGATGCGTTGCGCGGTTATCGATCAGTCGCGAAATGGATCGTGCTTTCCAAAAAAAAAAGAAAAAGACGCTGACGAGGTGCTTATTTTTAGAACGAACAATGAAAACACTTTTAATCCTCTGTAATTACGTTCTCTCGTTGTTCGACTTGTTCAGTACACGAAAGGATAAAATAGAAAAACGCAAAGGATAATCAAGTGTAATTAATGCACATCAATCAAAACAGACGCGGTTTTATTATTTTATAAAGTTGTTAACAAATTAAAAAAAAAAACCTTCGCGATAACTGTTTTCTAATTATTTTGTTTCACCTGTCGAGAGAGGAACATTTTTACAATTACCGTCGATCCCGTTTCTCTCTCTCTCTTTCTCTCTCTCTCTCTCTCTCTCTTTTCCCCTCTCTTTTCCCCTCTCTTTTCTGTTTATCTTGCCACACCAGATTTTAATCGCGGCCTTTAATCGGTCTTTCCCGGCACGACAGGCACGCGCCTAGACCCTTTCACCTTTTTTGCTTCTCTCCGCTGAGAATTTCCTCGAGGCGCGTCGCCGTGCGTGCGTCGCGACGGTGTGTATCGGCGGCCCGCGGCCGCGCCTATGTTACGCGTTGTTGTAAGCGCTGAATCACGTACGCACCGTCGCGCATGATGATCAATCATGTCCCGTGTACAAGTCCGGTACACGGATCGCACAACTACGCGGAATGAGAATTCACTTCGAATTGTTGCGGTTTAAACAATTTCGCGCATACATTTGAATGCTTGCTTTGAATTCTTGCAATTGTTTGAAGAGACTTCGTTTTTTTTCTCACAATTGACTTGAGAATCACACAGTGTGTTGGGAAACATTTACGACGCAGAAAGGAGCTGAGAATGAGTTGAATCGCGCCGTGTTTTTGAAAGTTCATATCGATATTATAATGAAACACCGGTCCCCTGAGTACAAGTTGTTTGACGCTGTATCACGAAACCGTCTTATTACCGCGTCACGAAACAATAAACATGTCACATATGAGCGTTACGCAACGCGTGTGATCCGTTTCGTGCTCGAGCGAGAATTGGAGAGAGAGAGAGAGAGGGGAAAAAAAGAGAGAAAAAAAAAGAATGATAGCACAGCCGATGCAGTAATAGGTGTAGAATGCAGACGTAATGTGGCAACGTCGCGCGGAAATCATTCATTGAGTAGAGAGAGAGTCGCTCTTAGTCGGTCGACGACTGGCTAACCGGCTCGGTTAAGAGAGCGGCGGAACTTTTAGTGGCGGAGGATTCGCCTCTCGTCGACGACAAAACGCTCGGCATTTGACAACGTCTGCATCTTGAAAAATGTAAAAAGAACAGGGGAGGAGAGAATAACAATTCCCCCCCCCCCCGGTGAAACATGTACATCGATGAAAGATGAAATGTCCAAGTTAATTATTCTGAAAAGAATGAATCGCTTCCTCCCGCCCCTTCCTCTTCTCATTTTCTTATCTAAATTTACTTGTACAGGGAACCCTTTGTTACAACTTTTCTACGTTTTTTTTTTCTTCACGCGAATAAGGTGCTTCCAGTCGGTTAATTTCCCGTTCGATTAATCTTCATAATGCGCAATATCATTAATCTGCGTGGAAGTGTAAAAATCCTCGAGGAAAAGTTGATCGAAGAGAAAGAGATTTTTCTTGGAAAAATAATATTTTTTTCTTCTTTAAATTTTATTTCACGCACAACGAGCGCGCAAAAGCAATAATACGGAGCAATCGAAATCAACATTCTGGTTGTTGAGAGACGAAAAGGTCTCTCAACAGAGCGCGTATTTATCCCCGGCGCGAAGTTGCCGAATTTCGCATTGGCAAACGTGTTAGGTTAGGTTAATTAATTATTCAGTCATGCGGATTTTTTTCCTTCTCCAACAAGTTGCGCGAAAGGTGTTTCTTTGCCGCGTGTAACGCGCCGGCGCTCGGCGAGGAACAAAACATGACTCATGGAAGATTCATCGTCTAATTTAGCGCGTATATGCACAGACACGCGGTTCTTGTATGCCCGGCGGAAAAGTTTGTGTCGCCTAAGTGAGACTCGCAACCGCGTCTTTTTCAAGTCGCCCGCGGCCTTGTCCGACATGAGACAGAGAGACGTTCGAGTTAGCGCTAATTGTAAACCGTTACGAAAAAAAGAAAAAAAAAGAAAAACTAATCAAGCCGCTGAATTAACGCGATTATAGACCACGTGTGGCAGCGGCCGAAATAAATAGAGAATTATATACATATAAAGAAGAAAGGGAATGAGCTGAAGTAATTTTTATTGCGGCCGCGCCTCCTTGCCTTAATACAAGTTTTATGTCGGACTGTGGTTGCGCCAAGAAAGTTACCGCCGCGCCGTTTGCCACTGGCGAATAACAGTACGGTAGCACAAATAACATCTTATCCAGAAAAGCGTACAAAAATGTGTGCAAGGCGGCAAGAAAAAGTTTGCGACCGAGATTGAAAGTCGTCTGGCATGTCTCGGGAAAAGTAGCTTTCAACTTTCTGTGTGTTTTATGATACGTCTGTCGTAGCCCCGATTCGATTCACGTCGAGAAATAGAACGAAAACCCTCTTTCGTGGACGGGAAGGGGTTTGTTGAAGAAACAAAAACAACACGAGACGTTCCTCTTTCTCGCGCAGCAACAAAACGAGAACAAAGAAAATTGTCGAGAAAATGAAATCGTCGCGAAGGGAAAAATGGTAATCGCGAACTCTTGGAAAAATCTCACCCCGTCGCGAACCCGCGACCATCGATTTCGAAATGTGTTTCGAAATCGAAAAATGAACGAACAAGTTTCGATATCAATTTTGCG